GACAAGGCTAAAATCCTAGCCCCTCTTTGTAGCTGTGATAGGACTATAGAGCATGTCAAACCTGACTCACACCATGCAGAGGGAAGGGCTGGCCACATCGGGTCATGCAACATGCCAATCCATCATTCTAGGGTACCCCTGTCCGAGATCAAGCAGGAGTTTTTAAGGCCAGCTTACTTGCTAGCTCTAAGTGCTCTTTTTGGGCTAACAGAAAACGTATCTCAACATTAGTAATAGACGTTACAAATTGGTTGCTAGTAATAGAGAGATGGAAAATACCAGCTTAAACCAAAACCACTTTGGTTCATTTTCCACAAGGTCTCTAAAAACCAGGGACAGCTGCCACCTTCACTATCTTAGGGTCCCTTTGGCACCCCCCCTCCACAGGGAAGAGGGTAGCACGGGGCTTGAATTGGCCTAGCCCCTTGAATGGTGCTTCCCTAAAACCCCACTTGTTCATGTCACCCCTAACTGGAACTTAGTCCCAGGGCCACCCCTACTTGCAAGTGTGGCTGGGAAATGATGCACCAACAAAATAACAAAATCAGGGTCTGTTACTGAGTAGAAGGGGTGCAACTAGCAGTTTCTAACACAGTTATTGTCAAAGTGTTATTAGAACCACTGTGTCCTCCATTTCTGCCCTGTCTGGCTTGGGTGGGATATTGGCAGGGTTCAAGGCCCCGCGATGTTAGAAGGTGTAGCTCCTGCCAGCACAGACCGCTCACCTCCAGGTGTATTTCAGGTTCTCCCCAGCCTTGGGGGAGGGTTTCTAGGTCACCAGATCTCTTCTGGGTTCCCGACATTCTCCCTGTATGAGGAGCCACATGGATGACAGCCTGTTCTCCAGCTCTGGTCTCCCCAACTCCCAGCAGTGTCACTGCAGAGACCCTGCACATTTGAGCAATCTATGGCCCTGAAATGTGGTGGGCCAGCAAGCAACCATTCATCAGAAAGGCTCCTGCTTTCCCAGGTTCAGGGTAGTGGATGAGAGGAGACCCAGGGGCCACTGCTAGGGAGGGGCAAGTAATCCACTTGCCTTGGCTTTCCAGAGTGTTAGGCTGCACCTGGCCAGTCTTAACAGGGCCTTGACCCTGTCCCCTGGTTGTATGCCCTTCCCATTCCAGGACAAGGGTGGACCATGGTCAGAACCAATTAACCTTGGCCAACCAACCCCAGATGCTTACACCTGCCCTTCTGTGCACATCCCCCTCACCTGTGCCTACATCCAAAGACAACCTGGATGGCTCCAGTTCAGGCATGACCACAGAGTCTGATGGACACGACAGGACTGTTGGGGATAAGGGATGACAAAGGCCAAGAGGCACGTGCAGGGTCCTGGGAGAAGTCTATCACAGCTGGGGTGACCTCTATAAAGAGGTGTGCATATAATTCTGAGTGCAAAGAAGATGGTACAGTAAACTTCCCATTATCCAGAAGTCAGGTGTCCTGCACACAACCTGTCCAAAAAGAAAACTCCAGAGTTTATATTTGGCTGCCTTGGGAATCAGTGAAGTGATGTTTCGTGTGTACCCCCACAGCTCTGGTGTGTTCTCCGAAGCAGTGTTCAGTGTTAATGTGTGTTAACTTGAAGTGAAAAAATACGGTTATGAAGTTCACAAGTGTATTGACTGCCATTTAACTAAAATTGTACTAAAATGTTCTGAACTAAAATGTGCACTGCATTTACAAAGCTGTTTTATAATACAGTAAAACTGTGTTATACTTAAATAAGTTTGTCTTTGTCATAATTTGCTTTTATTTTTTTTTGAGACAGAGTCTTACTTTGTGGCTCTTGGGAGAGTGCTGTGGTATCATACACAGCGCTTGAGTGCTGGGGCTCAGGTGATCCTTTTGCCTCAGCCTCCCAAGTAGCTAGGACTACAGGTACACACATCCATGTATGGCTAGTTTTTCTGTTTTTAGTAGAGACGGGTTCTTGTTCTTGCTCAGCCTGGTCTTGAACTCTTGAGCTCAAGCAATCCACCTGTCTTGGCTTTCCAGAGTGTTAGGATTACAGGTGTGAGCCACTCCCAGTCTTAATTTGATCTTACTTAGTATATTTCAATATTAATATCAAATCAATACAGTGTATGGGATGGCACAGTGTGGGGTATTTAGCATAGTTAGGCTTATTTTTAACACTAACTCTCAAGCAACCAAAAACTACATTTATCTGTAATCTACCAAGCCTATGGATGCCAGATAACCTGGAGATTACTGTGTATAAAGTAAAAATTTTAAAAGGGCCTACTCCTATAGGCCAGCCCTCAAATCTCTTCCCCACAGGCAGTCAATTTTTACCAACTATTGGGGTGTCCTCTGGGGTATTTCCCATGAGCACAAATGCATAGCTCTACAATGTTTTTTACGCAAATGGTAACTCAATATACACCGCACTGAAAGTTGCTTAAAAAAACCTATACAATACATTTATTATCTGGGAGAACATTTCAGACCAGCACAGTTTGACTCAGCAGTCTTTTGAAAGGCTGCCGAGTATCAAGTTCTTGCATGTACAGGAATTTTATAACTTCCCTCCTGATAGGTGTTTGGGTTTCTTCCTGTTTGGGGCCAGGATAAGAGGTGTGACAATGAACAACTGTGTTCTGTATCTTTGGGCACTTTCACAAATATTTCAGGACTGAATACTTAAAGTGGAACTGCAAGGTCAAAGGGCATGTGCATTTGAAATTTGGGTAGATGCGGCCAAAAGGGCCTCTAAGGAATGGCCTCGATGGAAACTACCTCCTCTGTAGTCTCCCCTTCCACTCAGCAGCAAAGTGATTTCTAAAGACAATTAGATCATCTTATACTCCTGCTTGAAACTGGTAGGTGCTTCAGTGGAGACTCACATTTGTAATTCTGTGCTAAGCCAGCCCCAGCCATGCCAGTCTCTTTGACACAGCATCTTGGTCCCACCACAGGGTCTTTGCACATGCAGGCCCTTACACCTACTGCCAAATCCCTCCCTCTTAGGCTTAGTCTCAAATGGCACCTCCTCATTCAGGACTGCTCCGGCCCCAATTAGATGTAGTCGGCAGCCTTCTAGGCCATTAACTACCAATTCCCTAAGTTTGGCAGCTCTGTTTTCTCATCTGTTTCTGGGCCATTGTCACTTCTTCCCACTAGAATGAGCTCCTAAAGCAGAACTTGGTCTGTTTGACACTGTGTCTGGCTGACAGTGCCTGACACTTAATAGTTGTTCAAGAAATCACTGCTGCCCATTCAATCTTTGTCAACTTGAGGGTAGTAAGTAGCATTTTATTGTTGTCATTGTGACTGTGTCCTTGCTGTTGGGTCAGGCCCAGCCCTGAGGCTGATGGCCTGGGTTTCTTTATAATATAGTTGCCCTCACACTCTTTACCTGCTTCCGGTCAGGTTTTCGCTTCCTTATTGAAGGATACAAGCTCTTTGCACATAAGATCTGTGAGCTATTTGCCTCTTGTTTGTGTTGCCGATATTCTTTCCTAGTTGATTGTTCAGCTTTGGACTTTGAGGTAATTTTTCATGTAAGTTTCTAATTTTCAGGTAGGCAAATTCTTTAAACCATCTCCTTGCGATTTCTAACTGTGTGAAGAGACTCCCTCACTGGGGTTGGGATTTTCCCATAGGTGATGCAGAGTACAGGCTCAGGACAGGGGGCAGACATAACCTGGTTTGCATTTGGGGGCACAGCTGTGCAGTGGTGGGGCACTGGGATTAGGGGAGACAACAATGACCCCCAAATTGCTGCTGTGGGACCAGGGTGGGAGAATGGCAGGGAAGTGGGCTGGCAAAAGGCAGTGAGGGGTCTGTGACTGACAGAGTGGCTTTCTCCACCCCCTCGGCTGGGAGGGTAGCCCACATGCTGGCACAATGGGCTTGGGAGGGACAGAGCCTGTCTGTTGTCACTGGCATTTATCAGAGACTATGGCTTCATCCTTGAAAGAGACTGTTTATTTTCAGATAAAAAGAATCACATCTGCCAGTATACCCAGCAAATATTAAGTTTGATCTTTATAATTTAATTTTAGAAAAGGGTCAATGAACTTGAGCCAGAGTATGATTTGTCATTGAAATTTCCATTCTGAGTTAAGCAGCCTCAAATGCTAATTCTTGGCAAAGATGTAGATATGCGTGCTGTGTGTGCATGTGTGTATGCCCGTATGTGCAATAACTTATAAAATGCTTGCTGTTGTACCCATAAATCCTCTGTCAACAACTTCCCTTTTTGTACCATGCTGTACATATCTGAGGTGAGTGTTTAGCAAATACATAATTTGGTATAAGCCCCATATGATGTCATTTCACAACCAGAGGCCTAACCAGTGAGATATTACTTAATTTGTTAAAGTGATAAACAAGATTATTATGTGCAAACAAACAGGGCTTGTGCTCCAGCTGTGTCCAAATTTATTTTACAAAGCCATAAACACAAGGCCCTTTCTCCAACCCCAATGATTGGGTTTCTCCTTCCTTTTGTCAGCAGGAGAAGAATGTGGAGGCTGAGCCAGTGCCATTGCTGTATGCCTCTGGCCTTTCTGGCTGCAGCACTTAAAGGAACTCATTCATTCTTTGCACTGGGCAATGCTCCTCACCCAAGGTCCTTCTGGGGGTTTCTCACACAGAGACTTTCCAGAGCAGGGAGACATCTGATCTTGGCTTGCCCGAGCAGGGCACTGCCCTGGGGACTCAGGAGCTTGTGAAATGTGCTGAGAGTCTGGGGTTCTGGGGTGGGGGGACAGGGGTCATAGCCCTCCTCCTGCCCTGCCCCGAACTGCTTCCCAACTGAGATCCTCTAGTGTAATTCCATCTGAGACCTGGGCAGGAAAATGGGCAGGCTCTTTATGGCAGGAAGGCCCAGCCCTCCTTTGTGCGGCCCAGCCCTCCTTTGTGCAACCCAGCCCAGAATGGGATCCCTCCACCCCTGCTCCTGGGAGCTGATGGAGGCAGGAGGGGGACCCTCCCCACCAGATCCCACCCTCTTCCCTGGGCTATAAAACTTGCCCTGGGGCAGGAGGTGGTACTCTGATCATTCTGCCCCGGAATAGAGAACCCTAGGCTGGTGGCTTCTCAGCAGCAAGGAGCACAGGGGAGAGCTGTGTCCGTCTTCAGGGTTCTCAGAGGACTGCAGGCTGCTAGCACAGAGGTCTCTGGCCAGCAACTTGAGAGAGTCATTCCACAGGAATTACCTTCTCTTGCGCGTGCAAGCCTCTAGCCGGCCCAGCTCTTCATAGGACTGGTAAAAAATGTCAAACTCCCTGGCGCCCCAGCCCCTCCAGACAGCGAGGCACCACTCTGTGTTTTCATTTTCAAAGCCACACACAACAGTGTCCTTTGCCACCACAGCAGCATCTACCAGCACCCTGCAGAGAGAAGGGGTCTTAGAAAACTCACAGGGGTCCCTACCTGGGATGGGCTGGGACCCTCACTCTGTAGGAGGACCCTCACTCTGGGGAGAGCAGAGCTGGCTAAGGGAGCGGGTGTGTGTACCCCAGCCCCTCCAGATGTGCTGGGAGGCGCTGCTTCTCTCTGTAGTCCGTGGGCTTAGGCTTTGTAGAGTCCAAAGAAGGGTCGAGGGCATCAATTTATGTTCATGAGCACAGTCTCTAAGTGTCTGACTCCCTGGGAGGCCACCAGTACAACTGGAGCAAGGATCCTTGCATCAGACTCCAAGTGTCCAGAAAACACCATGGACTCTAGTTCCTGCTTGTTAATGGAGTGATGGAGTTTAAGCTTTAACTTACTTCCCTCGCCACTAAGCTCAGGGTTTGATTCTTCTCCTATTCTGTTTCCATGTGCTTAGGAAACACAGGGTTATATGTTGGGCAGAAAATGAGCTGCCCCAAAGTCATAACTGAATACATGTTTTTGAGACTGTGACTGCTTTGCAGGATCAGTGGGAGCACCACCAGTGTCCTTTGGGGCCACATTGGACAGGTCACTGTGGCCTCCCTGCCCTGCTGTTGCCACCTCCAAGCATGTCCTGTCCGCATTTCCTTCTGTGCCCAGTACATATGCCCTGTGTGACACTGAGGCTGCTCTGCAAACTGGGATGTTCAGATGCCTCTGACTTCCTTGTGGCCTTGTCAGGGCTTTCATTCAGCTGGCCACTTGAACCTCTTTGTCCTTAGAGTGAGAAAGAGACAAAACTAGGCTTTTAGGGATGAATAAAAAAAAAAAAAAAAAACACCAGGTAAAAAAATTAAAAGACACTAATGGCAGGTATGCCAAGGTCACCAACAGACCTACTACAGACCCACTTGCTCCAGTGGCTTGACTTTGCAAGGTGGGAACTCCAGCTCAAGGCTGCTGTCTATACTTGACTGGCTCATGAACAAACCTAGATCTTATTTCTAGAACCACTTGTAGGGGAAGGGTCACTGTCCCAGGACTCACTGGGAAGGTCAGTGCAGGGGGCAAGGTAGTGGAACTGTCCGATGTTCCCTGGTCATTGTCCTGCTCTGAGGGAACAGGCCAATGGAGTTTTCCCACCTCTTATACTCTAGATAAGAGAAAAACCCACTTGCCCTCTGATGGGTGATAACTCCTGTGGAGAAATGGTTCTAGTGTGAAGTGGTAGCGCTGCACACACACATGGGCACGTGGGGAACCTTGGCAGGGTTCTCCTGCCTGGCAGGAAGTCACCTGGATGGCTCAATCCCCGTTTGGCCTGCAGCTGAACTCTGGCCCTGGAGACAAAACCCAGGTGGGGCACCTGATCTATGGATGATTGGGAGTCCTAAAAACAGGAAGCCATGGACAGTGCTAACCCCATGACAGAGCTGCTGGTGGGACTCCAACTGGTTCCTGCTTTGCCTGTGGCCACATTGGTGGAAGCCACTGTTTATCTGTGAGGACAGAAGGGCAGCAAAGCCATTGTGCAGGATTCTGCAGTGGGGCCTGAGGTTCCCATGCTGCGCCACCGGAGCCCCCAAAAGTTGCTTCTCAATCTTACCCATGTGGGGTCAGCTCTCGGGCCTTTAAGATGGCGATGACTCGGCCCCGCTGGACTCCCCCATCCTTCTCCAGACCAATGACGATAATGTCTCCACCACGCCTAAGAAACCAAGACCAGGAAGGGGATTTTTTTGTCTGTGGCTGGGCCCTCAGGCGGGAAATGGCACAGAAAAGCACATAGGTGGGTAACAGAAGTGAGTTTCTGCCTGACGATTAAGTTACAGAGAGGGTACGGGAACTGAATCCCAGTGGACTGTGGCTTTCATTCTGTGCTTCCTTGAGCTCCCTGGCCAGCTGATGAGCTTTAGTGCTAGCATTCTTGATTCACCGTGTACTCTCAGGTGGTGGGGACAAAAACCCCTTGGAGGACCCACTCCCCTTGGACGGCAATGTCACCTTTCAGGAAGCCACAGGGCTCCCCTTGCCCTACCCCCATAGCAAAAGCAGTGGGCATGGCCCCCATGCCATCCCCACCTCAGGAAACTTACCTGGGGACCCAAATGAGGTCCCTCACAGCGAGGACCTTAACAGCCTGCAGGTGCTGGCTGAATGTCTCCCCATCTATGGGACTCAGGTCATGCTCAGACCTGTCGGAGGTGGCGCTGGGCTCGTGCAGCCTGTCTGAGTCCTCACAGTCCGTGGAGAAAGGCACACTGGAAGAGCTGGCTGGGGAGCTGGGAAGGCTGGAGGGGGACCTGGCAGCCCGGCAGGGAGGGGACGAGGAGTAGGAAGACATGGAGCAGTAGTCAGTCAGCGAGTCCTGGTGGGTGAGGATCTGCGTGCCCAGCTCCCCACTGAACATGATGCTCACGTCCATGATGGGCTCCCCTTCCTTCATACAGGCCTCATGGCTGCTTGGGGCTTCCATGGCCAAGGGCCCCACGGGAAATGTGTCCCTGAGGGGGCTGGGGTCCCCACAGAAGTACCGAGCACACAGCTGGTAGGTGGCTGAGTGGTACATCACCAAGGAGTTAGCCTTGTCGTCCAGGCACCAGACCACTTCTTCCCCCTTGCCGTCGGAGCCGCACACGACTGACACGACCACTGAGGGGGCCGAGTAGGGCTCCAGCCTCCTGGTGATGTCCAGGGCTGCACAGTCAATGACAAGGAGGCCTGGCCCGTTGCTGTACCAGACCTCGGACCCGCTGTTGACCACCTCCATGGCCTTCACGGGGTAGGGATTCTGCCGCACGTCTTCATCGGAGATGCCAAACTTGGACCTGTTGGCTGTATGCGAGCACAAATAGGAGCAGCTATCGGTCGGGGAGCCCCGTGCCACAGGGAATACGGCCACCAGCCCATCAGCTAGGCCTGCCAACACCAGGTAGGAATTCTGTGAAGCAGACAGGAATGCGTCACGCCCTTTGGGCTCAGACATTCAGGAGAGATGCAGAGTGGGAACCAGACTCCTCTCTGCACCTACCAGGAGGCACACACTTTCCACACACCTGCACTGGAGGAGCAGCGCTCTTCCAAAGGCCTGGGCTGCCAGTAGGAGCTTCTGGGCCCGCTCCCAGAGAGGCCCAGCTGAGCCACAGCCACCCTGCCCATGGTGAGGAAAGGAACACACTACCAAGAGGCTTGAACTGTGGCTCCAGCACGGTGCCTGGACCACACAGCCTCACCTCCACTTGTGCTGGCTTCATGCAGCTGGAGCAGCCAGAAGCTTCCTTCTCCTCCAGGCCGCCCACCAAGGACATGGTGCCCTTGCCTGTGAACACTGCTTGTTAATGTGATGGCAGTTGTGGGCATTGTGAGCATCTGTGCACAGCCTCCTGAATGCACCCTCACTAGGGGAGAGCTCCAGGGGGAGCAGGGCTGGCCTTGTGCCTGCCACTGTCCCCTCTGTGCTGGCCTGGCACAAGAAAGGTCCCTGTGATTCCACATGGACAATATGTTTACTGGAAGAAATTCCAACTTAACCCTCCTGTGGAGGCATGTCTCTGCCCACTGAGCCCATGCTCCTAGCTTACATTGAGTCTGAAATGCCTGTGGTGCAGCTGATAGTGGTGGGGTCCTCAGGGTGCCCCCCACCCCTGCAATAAGGCATGAAATCTTCTATAGCCACCTGAGATCACTGGGCAGAGACCAAAGTTGTAAGGATGATGCTAAAAGCTGCCCCTGCAGACCTCTCCAGAGCACCTCCCAGGGCAGAGTGGGGAACAGGGTGCAGCTTTATAGCCCCACCCCATGTTGGGCATAAGAATCTGCAGAACAGGACAGTGCAGAGAGCCAAGACATGTGTGGCAGGGTGCACACTGGGAAGCCTCCTTGGGAGGAGCTGGGGGAGCTAGGGGCTTGGCTGTCCAAGGTCATGCAAAGTCATGCAGTGCAGCCTGCAAGCAGCTCAAAAAACCCAGGACAACATTCCCTAAGCAAGTTTATCATACCCCATCTTCAGGATTTTAAGGAAAGAATGCAGCCAAGGTAAACAGGCTTGAAGTCTCTAGCTCAAGTCCCAGCTCTAGCTGGCTAGGGTAGTGAGCACTATGCCCCAGCTGGGTGTGAAAGCCCCAGCATGTGCAAAAATGTAAGGCTGCCCTGCACGGCCCTCTGAGGGGCAGGTATCCTGCACAGGAGGCTTTGCACAGAGCCTGCTTTATTCCCTCTGGTCGTGCAGGAGGTGTGCCCTGGCTGGGGGTTCTGGCCAGCAATGGCCTTCAATAGCACTTTGTGTCGTGTTCGCCTATGCTCTGGTGCAGGCTGGATCCTGAGCTACTTAGCCTTGCCTCTGGGCCCATGGTCATAAATGACTTTAAGGTTCATTTCAGACCTGTTTTTGTTTTTTTTTTTAAGAAATGAAACTGAAGAACCATGGAGAGAAGAGCTCACATATTTCACGACTTTCAGGAAGTAATAATAATGCTCACGTTTCCCACCAAGTGCACTGCCTACAGCTTTGGGTATGTTAGACCCCGAGATCCATCTCATTATTTCCTATTATCCCTATCTTGTAGATGGGCAAACTGGGATTGGATGCTGACAGTCAACACATTTTGACAACACCAGCAAAGGCTCCTTGTGCTTTGAGGGATGAGGGGTACAAGCAGGCCCCTTGGGGTAGATAAAACTGGACTGCCTGAAGCAGACCTGAACCCCAGAGGGCAGCAGAACCTAGGGAAATCTGGGCAGCTGCCTCTCAAATTGACTCTCCTCCCCCTGAAGGACAGCTCTGCAGGGCTCTGGACCTGATCACTGAACAGGAGGTGGTCTGGATGAGGAGTGTGGTGAGGACTGGGATGTCAGTGACCCAACACATAATGTGGTGCTGTGTGGGTGGGTGGTATGCAGCAGAGCTGGTAGGGCCCTGGGCTGGTGGGAGGACCACTTGGATGTCATTTGGAAAGGACAGGGAGGAGAGATTAAATATGAGTCTATAGGGCCACCCAGGATAAGGAAAGACCAAGGTCTGGGACAGGCAGTAAGCACTTGAGAGGCAACAGAGGTGGAGGACAGGTAGAGCAGGCTGCCCCGCAGGGGTCAGGGCCAGGATCTCCAGGGCCTGCCTGGTGACTGAGGTGCCTTGGGGTGATGCTGCCATGCTATTGCTCTCTGCCACTATCCTGCGGGGAGGAACACTGTGAAAACTGCTCACCTGCACCATTGCACTAACTAGAGTTTCACCTGACTGAGGTTGAGGCATTTGCCTGCGAGCAGGGCCCTTTCTTAAGCAGCCCTCAGTCTGGCCAAGCACTTAGGTTCTGAAAAATTGGAAGGGCCCAGGTCTAATGGGCCTATCATTCTAGGGCTGTAGCCTGGCCCAGCAAGTCCAAAACAGATTCCATTTTTGAAGTCTGCTGTCCCCATCACCCCTCAGCCCAGTGTAGACCCAACACATCAGGGAAGGGGATCAGAGACCTGCATACCTGCCATCCCCCTGACCTTACCTTTTTAATAACAGGTACTGCTAAGAAGCAGGTTACAACTGCTGGAGTGTCCAAGGCCCGCTGGGGCATGTTTAAGGGGCACATGCCCTTAAGGCTGTAGATGTAGATTTTCTGGTCCTGCAGAGGCAGATGAGCCCACCATGAGACCAAGGTTGGAAAGTGCCTAGCATCTCGTATGGTGGTGCACTCAGTCTTGGGAGTCCCCTGTGGGTCTTAAACAGTAACATGGATGGAGGCATTCTGGTTGGTTGTTTATGTATTTCTGGTCTTTGTAGACATTTTGAAAAGTACAGAATAGTCTAAAGAAGAAACATAAAATTGCACAGAGAAAACCAGTACTGGGATTTGGGGGCATCCCCCAAAGTTTTCTGTGGGTATTTGTGAGTATGCATGGTATTAACAGTGGTAGGACTTCTAATTGTTCTTTGATGTGACATTCAGCACTTACTCTAGGAGCACATGATACAGGAGCTTATATTGACTGTCTAGTCTAGTGATTCAACCAGTGTACCACTGCACACTGGTGTGCTGTGAAAAATTTTAAAGATCATTAATTAAATTATTTTCAAAAGAAGTTCAAAGCACAGTAAGTATATTCTTTTTTTACTCTCTTTTTTTTAATCAACATAATTTAAGTGTGCCATGGAAGTTTAAGTATAGGTTCAACTGTGCCATGAGATAAAAAAACATTGCTCTAGTACTTGGGTGTACCATAATCTGGCTAATCTGTTGTCAGGTATTTAGTCTGCTCCAAGTTTTCACTACCATGAATTATACTGGGATGAACATTCTTATAGACATCTGTGTGTATGTGTATGTGTGTGCATGTGATGGTTATTTTGTTAGAATAAATTCTTAACATTGAAATTACCAAGGCTTACATGGTGTGAGTAATTCTGAGATTTTGGTGCTTCCCTGAACCACACTTCCAAGCTGCCCTCCAGAAAGCATGCATCAACCTATTCCCCACCCCCGAGCCTCAGAGCATTTGTTTTTTGGCTATTCCTCTCTGTATTTCTCAGGAGAAGGCTCTTTGGGCTTTCTAGCGACTTCCCCGATATGAAGGCAAAAGGTATTCAGGGTGAGTGGATTTGCTGTGTAGACCCAACAGCCTGGTAGGAAACCCAGACATTGCATGAACCTCCTGCGTTTGTCCTCCTGCTGAGTCCCTACACCTGAAACTCTCATCCTGGCTAGTAGTTGACAGGATTGAGCTACCCCTGGTGATAGGCTGCAGCTTCATGGGACTGATGGCACTGCTCTGGGAACTGCACAAGGATGATCTGGGGGTTATCTGAAAGTCCAGTTGACCTGGTGCCCTGTATTTTTGTGAACCTGATACCCCCAGGGGCCACACCCATAAAGCCCACCTTGCTGACGGCCCTGCGGGAGGTGGTTACCTCAGTGGCAGTCCACAGGGAGCTCTGCACCTTTAATTGGCAGCTTAGCTTCATTCCTGGGCAGCTCATCCTCTGCACTTCCAGAAGGCCCTTCTCTGTGTTCACCACTGTGTAGTTCCTACAATCAGAGACAGGTTACCACAAAACAAGCCACAAAACAAGCATGTGCATGTCCACATGTGCATACTCAGCTTTCTCTCTCCCTGCTCTCTCTTGAGTGGACTCTCACCAGGCTTTGGATCCCACTGTCCCCTAAACAATTCTCTCTGTGGTCATCATGGACTCATGTTCTCATGTCCCGTGGTGGCCTCCCACCCTAAAGACCAGCAGTGCAGGGAGGCCCCAGGACATTACCTGGACTCCTCTTTCCCATCCCAGAATACCACGGTGTACTCTTGGCCCTGGGACGAGAAGAAGGCCAATTGCTTCCCACAGGGGAGCATATACATGAAGGTGGCGAAGGTCGGGTCCTTCATCTGACTCACTACTGACAGGGCCAGCGGTCGCTGAGGGAGAGAAGACACCAGAGCATGAGCAAGATCAGGCGCCAGATCAGGTAGCTCTGACTGAGGGTGACCAAATTGAAGCAAGAGGCTTTGGACTTCAGAAACAAACCCATCCTGGCATCTGGCATGGTCAGCTTTGGCAACTTGAGCTCAAGTATCCTATCCGGTCAAGGACATATATTCCTCTTTTCTTTTCTTTTTTTTTAGGAGATGGAGGCCCTTCTATGTTGCCCAGGATGAAGTGCAGTGGCTATTCATTCATAGGTGTGATCACTGAGCATCACAGCCTCAAACATCTGAGCTCAAGTGATCCTCCTATCTCAGCCACCCTGAGCAGCTGGTACATGCCAGGCTAAGGCTCTTCTAAAGAACAACCAATGTACTCTGAATATGTTAAACTAGCTCTGTCTGATTTGAATAAATGAGTTTTAAACCTTGAAACCACTGGCCTCTTCAAATCATCCCCCTAAAACAACAACAAAATATGAGCTTTACCATTATAATATGATCCCTGCTTCTCATGAGCAAGCCTTTCCTCACTGCTTTATACAGAGAGACATTCTCTCTGTTCATGCTTAGGGACTATGTTGCCATAAAGAGATTGATATACTTTGTGTGTAAGCTGAAATAACATAAACTTTGGGAAGACAAGAAAGGTCATGTTTCCTAAGAGTGACACACACACAAAGCATTGTTCTCTAATGACATGAGTAGAGAAGAGGGGCCCAGTTGTTCTTAGGAAAGGGTAGGCCAGTCACGTGTGTGTACTCTGGAGACCCACAGCCCTACCACGTGGTAGGAGTTCCCGGGGTACCTTCTCCGGCTTTGTGTCCCAGCACTCCATCATTAGTGCCTGGAGTCGGTAGAACTGCACTTCCTCCAGCTGCCCTAGCACTGGGCGGATGCCCTTGGACAGCTTCTTGGCAATCTGAAGCTGGTGGTGGCCCAATGCAGGACGCTGTCCTGACAGCAATTCGTAGAGCACCATTCCGTAGGAGAACATATCTACCTGGACAAAAAGTGAGCCAACTCAGGTCCCTTGTCTGGGTCCTGTGGTTTTCACAAGCTAGCCCTAAGAGGGAGAGAGCAGGGAGACCCAAATGTAAAAGGAAAACATGGGTCCCGCCCAAAGGGAGACCATCATCAACTGTTCATCTATCTATCTGTCTAAACATCCAAGCAACCATCTGACCATGTCCTTTTGTCCATTTATCATCCATCCATCTGCTTGTTCTTCTGCACATTTATCCATTCATCTTATCTATCATCTATCTGCCTGTACATCTTACTACATGTTTTTCTGTCCATTTATCCATCTTGCCTTTCTTTCTTTCTATCCACCCATCCACCCAACTGCCCACACTGTTCATTTACCCATTGTACCATCCATCCAACACACACAGACAACCTGCTGTCAGTCATTGATTAAGGAGTCCATGGAAGATGTGGGCTTTACTCTTGAACATCAAGACAAGGCAGGAAAATGCAGACCCTCAGTTTAACATGCTTGGGTACCAGCAGTGTATGCAAGTCATAAAAAGTGGAGTGCCTCCAAGATCACAACATGTTTCCTCTAATTTTAATAGTCATGAAAAGCCCAGCAAGGAAAAAGTTATATATTAATAGACCCCTATAAGGATCACGAAATAACTTTTTAGCAGGCGAATGAATGGCTGAGATAGACCTGAGAATTTGTAATGTGACTGCTCCTGTTGCTAGTTTCAAGGTCAACACCTTTTCTGTGCCACTCGCTACAATGAAGCTCTTCTTTTTTGTTGCTCTTATTCGTTTTTTCTGTCTTGGGCAAAAGCCACAGGTGCTTAGCTAACCCACACATTGTTAGGTCATTTTTAAGTCAACTAGTCAATGACCTATCTGAAAATCACCAAAGAGCAAGAAATTATAAAATTTTAGCACTGGGTGATTAATTAACAATGCTGGCATTACATATAACACTGCCCTGTAAGATGACTTCAAGTTGTCTGTGTGCCTTCATCAGTCAAATGGCTATCAGGGAGAAGTGATCAGGAGATAAACATTTAGTCATTGTCTCAACTGAGGCCAGCCATGCAGTTGCCCAAGGAGGGCATGCTTGCCCTGCCAGAATTCACACTCTTCTCCTGGCATGGCATTTGATTTGGACAGCACCTGCAGTCAGTTCTTAAGGCCAGTATCCCTTCCCATCCTTATTCTGTTTTCTCCTCATGAGAACCCTGCAAGGCTGGTCCTGTGTCCCCATTTTGCAGTCTAAATGCGAGTAGGGATCCAAATCCAGACTCATTTCTGTCTTGAACTCTTCACTCCCTGCAGCCTCCACAATGTCTCTGAGTCAAGATTTTAGAATCCTGAAGCCAAGAAGAAGTAAACTTTAGGCCTCTGTGCCCTTCTGGTTTAAGCTAGAACCTCCTTCGCTGAGTGCAGTTTAGGGAGAAAAGTATGCATGGGGGGACACTGAGTCCTGAAGCTACTGGTGCCCCCAAGACGCTCTGGTTGACCTCAGATGGGGCCTGGGCTCCTGCACTGTGGGGCTGGGTGGGGCAGGTACCTTCTCATCATACACAATTCGAGGCCTGATCTCCGGGGCCTGGTAGCCGGGTGTGCCCTCCACGCCTAGGGCGCCCTCGTGAAATGACTGCCTTGAAATCCCGTAGTCAGACAGCTTGATGTTGATGGGCTCCTTGACGTCGTGGGACCACACCAAAATATTGTCTGACTTCAAGTCGCAAAAAATGATGTTTTTCTTGTGTAGGTAAGCCAGGCCCAAGGCAATCTGGTAGGCTATTTTTTGGGTGAGCATATGTCCCAGGGGCATAAAGGAAGAATCTTGCAAAGAAAGAAAATAAATGGTGAATTGTAGGAACTATCTTCCCATCTTCCTTACTATCTCCCTGGACACTTTTTAGTCTATTGACACGTTCTCACTGTTCTCCATGCTGGATGCCAGAAGGGACTGCAAGTAATGCTGGTGAATGCAATCACATTTAGGATAGAAATGGGAGCCATTACAGCACCATTCATGTTATCTCATGTCTGGAATTGTTGCTGTTTTTACTGAAAAATAAGGATTCAAAGTTTGTCTCAGGTCAAGGTTGTCCTATTGTCAAGGCTCAGTGATTTGTAGGTATAAGCGCTTTATTAAAAAATTATCTTTCATTGAGGCAGAGTGATTGATTTTAATAGAATTTCCTCTTCCCCACTCAAAGATAGTTACCTGGCTAGCTCTGGCAGTCTTTTGGAGTTTAGTCAGCCAGTTTCTAAGGAGAATTACTTGAAAATTTCATTAAAAATTAAGATATGGTAGTGTTGGCCTCAGGGTCTCAGTCTCACCACTGGGGGGTATGAATGAAGCGTTATGGTTAAGGGATTGATTTATACAGCTACTGGGGGCTATTATTATCCTCCTTTTGCAGACAAGTAAATCTGGCAACTTCCAGAATTGTGGCAAAGACACAGGACTTGGAACCTGGTTCTACCTGATTCCAAAATGTGAGCCCCTTTGTCCTTGCCAAGGCTACTGTGGGGCATTCAGGCTGATAAAGCTCCTGGCTTCAAACCTGGGAGAAGGCCACCGGCATCTCCACACGCACAGGCAGGAGGAAGCTCCCCTGCCCCGCTTCCCTGAGCCTGCACTGCCTACCCCAGTCTGGGTTGGTGGGGGCCCTTGGCAGCCCCCTGTGGAAGGCTCTCAAAGCTGTGGTACCTTTGGCATTCTCAGATAGCACGGTGTTGAGGCTGCTCAGAGGGGCCAGCTCTAGGGCGAAGCAGAGAGGATGGATGCTGATGCCGATGAGCGACACAATGCAGGGGTGCTGCAGGGCGTGCAGCATGCTGGCCTCCTGCCGGAACTCTGAGAAGTTCTTCATGGCATCCATAGCTCGCAGGTGCCTCAGCATGGTGTCTATAGGGGGACAGCTCAGTTGTCAGCCACCCAGGAGGATAAGGGGACCCAGGTCCCTGTTGAATCTTATTCTTTCAGCATCCCTGCCATCTCACCCAGAGCCTGGCTCAGGACATCTATCTGGAATGTGACAAGGCCCCTTCCTCTCTCTCTCCCCTCAGAGATGCTAAGGCTGGTCACCTTATTCCTTACCATGTAGCCAGGACCACTGAGCATCACCACCCAGCTGGAGAGAACACTCCCCACAGCTACTCTGTGGGGCAGCCAGTAGATCATGACATGTCATCCCAGGACAGAAGAGAAAAATCAGTGATGGGCAGTTTGTAACCTTGTGCTGTGACCTTCTCCTAACACCCTTGAAATTCATCCTCCATGTGAGATGCCCATGTGATTCACAGCCCACCAGGCCGTAGCAGGCACACATGGGATGCACCAGCCCTGAGGCCACTGTGCAGGCCATGGCCAGACTCTGCTAGTCCTCTCAGTCCTGTTTCTATCCTGCCTCATGGTCAGATTTTAAAATTGGAGATCATTAGACTTGAAATTTCTAACAGCATGAAAAAGCTTGGCGATTAAAAGGCATTCTGTCAGATCCATGTGCATGCTGGCCATTGGTTTTTTTAGTGTAAAAGTGTTATTTTTCACATAGCATCTTTAAGCCATTAGTAATTTATTTTTGACTATGGTGGGAGGTCAGATACAAACCTTGACCCTATTTAGTAAACACAGCTAGACTTTCCCCTCTGCCCATGTCACCTCTGTGCTGTGTGGCTTCCCACATGTACATGGGCTGTCTCTGTTCCCTAAACAGGCCTATCCTTGCTCCAGCAGAAAATAGCCTTAACACTTGTAGATTTGTAAATTAAGGCATTCACGGTGGTCCCCTTTCCTGTATCTTCTACTGTAGAATTTTCTCGGCTGCTCTCAGACTTTGCTCATTTCATGTCCATTTTACAGTCAGTCAAATTACACTCACCCCTAAACCCTTGTCATGGTCTGTTGGGATTCAGATAAGGACTAAATTGAATGACATTTTGGTTATTCCTAAATGCCCATGGTTTTGGTTTTTATCGCTGCTGTGGGGAACATTTTCAAATGGCTTGTTGCTGGGCATAGGTGCTGCTGAGCCCTGAGGTCGGGCTCATGTCCAACCACCTGAGGAGACTGTGACGGCTCTGCTCCTTGTCCATATGTCAACAGGGTCTCTTAGATTGGCTGGACTTACATGGGGACAGGTTCCTCTAGGTGGAGAATATCCCTGAACCACATATGAGGTCAGACGATTAAGTTGGCAAACTCATCTTAGAAAAAGTGCTACATACCCCATTGCTGAATATCACTACAGTCACCTTCAAAGAACTTCCCTTGGCCATCAAGTGACCATAGTGATATTCAGCAATGGGGTATATAGCCCTTTTTCTAGGAAACTTAATTGTCAGATCTCCTATGATGACAGCTCTGATGGCCATTCCAGAAAGAAAGTTCCAAAATTGCTTTGAAGGGTGGACTAGGTGCTAGCGTCAGATTGTATATGATGGTTGTGCCCGAAGATGCCAAGGCAAGAGGGAGCTCTGTCGCGACCGGTCGGGCTCCTGTGGCCCTGGTCTCGGTTAGCACAGGAAGGAACCAGGCGAGAAGCAGATTAGAAGTACAAGCTTGTGGGCTCGGCGCCTATAGTTCAACCGGCTAAGGCGCCAGCCACATACACCTAAGGTGGCGGGTTCGAATCCCCAGCCCGG